TTTTTCTTTTTCCGTTTTTTTATCTTTAAAAGAAAAAAGAAAATGTTGGCACTTTCATTTGAATCTTTTTTTCGGTTTTGCTATGAAACTAACAATTATCTTCATAATGGAGTTAACTTGCTATATACAATAAATAAATCTACTATATTCACTGACTACTTAAATAACATTAATATAATTTGATTAATATGATAAATTTATTTGTTGTATATAGAATGTTGGTTCAACTATTGAGCCAACTATTGACTTTATGGCAAAACTGTTTTTTTCTATTGTTCCATTTTTGGCAATTCATGATAATTATTGCAATCGTGCTTTTTCTTTTTGCCTAAATTACATGTTGAAATTTAATACTTTGCTTCGTTTGCAATTTAATCATAACTTTTCAGTCTTGGTAATAATAGATACAAGCTTTTGAGTTTTGCAAATTTAAATACACAATCAACAAAAACAAAGTGAATGTTCTAGCTAGTTTTATGTGTCTGACTCGGTATACTACATGAAAATAGGAAGGATATGATATGTCAAAAATTGGGGAAAAAAAAATAAAATAAAAGAATAATACATCCTTCTTACACATAATATGGAGTTTTGGATCTGTAAGAAACTGGGGGGAAATGAAAGCTCATATGAAGTCCAAATGAGGTTCCATCCCAAAACCAATTGGTGGAAGGAGGAGTAGCCCATTAGACTTATAAGGTGGGTCTATTTTCTATGTGTGAACGATGTGAGCCCTGATATCATGTCTCTAACTCAGGCACAAAGTGGGCTCTGATATCATGTCTCTAACCCAGACACAAAGTTGGTCGGGCTCTGATATCATGTCTCTAACCCAGGCACAAAGTGGGCTCTGATATCATGTCTCAAACCTGACTCTGATACCATGTAAGAAACTGGGGTAAAAGGAAAGCCCATATGAAGCCCAAATGAGGTTCCATCCCAAAACCAATTGGTGAAAGGAGGAGTAGCCCATTAGACTTATAAGGTGAGTCCTGATATCATGTCTCTAACCCAGGCACAAAGTGGGCTCTGATATCATGTTAAAGGAAAAACCCATATGAAGCCCAAGTGGAGTTCCATCCCAAAACCAATTGATGAAATAAGGAGTAGCCCATTAAACTTATAAGGTGAGTCTATTTTCTATGTGTGAACGATGTGGGACAACTCACAAGTGATATTCTAACAGGATCAACATGGATTGGGTCAAGTGGTAAGTAGTTTGATGTTCTTTAAGCAAGGTCTCGAGTTCGACTCTTTGTGGATGCAGAAAACCCTAGTTGGGAGGTTCACCCACCACTGCCAGGTGTGTGACCCAGATCGACCAACGAATTAGTTGGAGCTCATTGTAACAATTGAAAAAATTGAAGAATTTTAACACGACCCACTCGTATATTTGCGCGGCTTTATTTAATTGTGTATATTTATGTATTTAGTGGTGTAACACATTCTCATTCTTGTTTTTACTTTTTTTTTTTT